TAGAATAAGAAAGACATTTGAACTTTTTCTCGAGATATTTGGTTCATCTGTTCATTTTAATCACAGGCTTCTATAGCAGTAAATTTTTGTATGTTGTAACAAAGCAAAAGAGGAATGCGCTAGAATGGTATTCTTCAACATGGAAAACATATCTGATATTATATTGCGGGGCAAATGACCCTGGCTGTGTAAAGACATGCATTGATAAAACTGCCGAATCCTTAAATAGCTCAGTAAAGTTATTTAAAGGGTCGTTTCCAGATGTGATGGAGGTTCGATCAGGAAAAAGAGCGCAAAAGTAATTAACTCAGTTACCAAGCATAATTAATCTAGTTACAACAGAGGATATTTTATATATAAACAATCCGTCTGGGAGTAAACTAAAATTTTTAAAAGCGGGCTTAAAAACATAATGAACTGCCAATGTGATTTAATATTATCATTTATAGTAGTAGTAGTATCATTGATATATATTGTAGTGGGTCACGGCTGGTTTTGTGAGTAGGGTGTTGAGCTATAATAGACTCTTAAGGGGGTGTTCATCCCGTGTTACGAACCATACTGTGAAACAGATTCTGAACTACATTAAACGAATACAAGTAATGGTGAAATTTTTGTCACATGTATCCCCTGCCTCAAAATGGTCGCACGAATTTTGATTCTCCAGTTAAGGACAGATGATACGTTCCTCAGTAATATATAATGTTTTCTAAGATTGTCACTGAAGTATTGCTACTTGAACATGTTTACTCATAAAAAAAATAAGGTACCTTACCTGGCATTTGTGCAAGATACCAGAGGATGGGGTTTCCTATAAAATCCTTTTGGAAAAAACTTAATTAGCCAATATCACATTTTTTAGTGTTTCAATTTTTAAAGACAATCAGAAACCAGTTTAGAAATCAGAAGGTAATTAAAATTTTGAATTTTTACCATACAAAGAAATACAAAACAGATATTTGAGGAACGTATCGACTGACCATAACTGTTGATGCATTTCTTGAATTTCAATTATCTTTCAATTTCAATTATCTTCACCTTTAATCTTTTGATCTCAAAATCAATAGGCGCTTTCTTCAAGCCAAATATATATATATATATATATATATATATATATATATATATATATATATATATATATATATATATATATATATATATATCATGAAAGAAAAAGAAAATGCACAGTTTCCAAATTTCATTTAACATTAAATGTTAAATGGTGTTAAATGAAATTTGGAAACTGTGTATTTTCTTTTATGATTATTTTTACTGTGTGATATCATCTTTTAACTACTTTTGAATTTTATATATATATATATATATATATATATATATATATATATATATATATATATATATATATATATATATATATATATATATATATATATATATAAAAGTCCCATTGCACGAACCTGAGAAACTTTTTGAGATATCAACAGGAATCAAACGAGATGTGTTTATGAAACATTGATGCCCCCGTATGGCAGCTCAAGGCGAAGGTTAAAGTTTCTCAAATGTAAGCCAAACTTCCAAGGTCAAGGTAAACAAATAAAAAATGTTGTACCCAATTGAAGGTATTGTCACAAGGATACGAAATATGAAAGCCCAAGCACCAACTGTTCAAAACCTATTGCCAAGTTTAGAGTGTTTCATAAGTAGGTCAAACTCATAGGTCAAAATTATTGGTACCCAAGGAAAGGACTTTTCACAAGGAATACACCTGTAAACACATAAAAGCCCTAGCACCAACATTGAAAAGTTATGACCAAGGTTAAAATCTTTGTGAATTATATCAAACTCTAAGGTCAAGGTCAAAAGGTAAAAATTATTGGTACCCAAGGGAAGGACTTGTCACAAGGAATACACCTGTAAAATATGAAAGGCTTATTTCCAACAGTTAAAAAAAAATGGACATTGTAAAAGTTTTAGTAAAGTAGGTCAAACTCCAAGGTCATGAGTTCATAATTATTGGTACCCAAGGGAAGGTCTTGTCACAATAAAAACATGTGAAATATAAAAGGCCTAATTTCTACTGTTCAAAAGTTAAGGCCAAGGTTATTTTTTTTAAATACTGTAAATTCCTTATTTTACGCGAGTACTTAATATCGCGAAATGACACAAGGGCGTCAAATCGCGGGAACAATAATTCGCGAATCGGTGATTTTTCTAGAGATTTTACATACATTAAATCACCATAAAAATAAAAGCGAGTAATTTTATTTCGCGAGTGGTGCTTGTCGCGTAATTACGCGATAATTTATTCCTCGTGTATATTTAGGAATTTACAGTAGGTCAAACTCCCAAGTTCAATGTCAAAAGGTTAAAAATATTTGTATCCAAGGAAAGGTCTTATCACAAGGGATACACGTGATGTATGAAAACCCCAGCACTAACCAATCAAAACTTATGGCCAATGAAAAAGTGGTGTAAAATTTTGCAAAAGTGGGTCAAACTCCAAGGTCAAGAGGTCAAATATGTTGGTACCGAAAGAAAGGTCTTGTCACAAGGTATACCCATGTGAAATATGAAAGCCATGCATATGATATGGTGCATATGAAAGCAGACGGACAGGGCAAAAACAATATGCCTCAGAATCTTCGATTACGGGGCCTAAAAATGTTACAGACAGAATAACAGCTAGACGGAAGGACAGAGAGACCCACACTATTATCCCCGGCTTTTAACGAGAGCGGGGGACAAAAATTGCGATAATAAGCTGAACTTTCTGAGGCATACCTGTGAGCTGTCTTTTTTAAGGTCATAATATTAAAAAATTACACCTGTTTGCGTGATATTAAGCGTAGAATTTCCAGGCCATCGTCGTCTTTAAAGATGAAAACATTTCCTTCATAATAATGTCATCAAGTCCGCTTTAAGGTAGTTGATAACCAGTGAAATCAGTTTTTAAGAGCCATTCTCTGTAATGACTTGAAATTTTATACAGGAGCTGTGGCACATAGCAACCAAATTTTATTTGATATATGTAGTTAGTATTCGTAAGTTCTCAAATACCAAAAAGACAAATGATGTTCTGAACAAAATATATAACAGATATCAGATATTCAGGACATTTAATTTAAAGTCTACTACATCTTCAGTGTGATGTTCTTCTACTCTAACATGTGATCTTACTAATAATGAAATATAACTTCTGTTTCTTTATATAGCTAGTAGGGACATGATATTTTGGCACATTTTTAGTAGTCTTCAATCGCATAATAAAGGTTAAGGTCATATCTTGAAGGTAAAAGTGTAATATGATGTCATTTACAAAAACCTTTAATTGTTTATTCATTACACTGTCCGGAGTCCTTTTTTCTGAATCGTTTGAATTATTCTGCTAGCGTACGAATGATCTATTTTGGCAAAACGTGCACCAACTTTGAGAAGAAAACAGGTAGCCTACTACCCAAAGCAAACAACAAAAATCATTTGTTATATCTCAAATTAGAATATAATTTTAGAAACATTCTATTGACATATACCTGATTTATACTTTTAATTGAGGTGAGATAAACCATATTTGAAATCAGTGGCGTATATTCCTATCTGCTAATGTGTAGGCTAGTATCTTATCTCCAAAATATGGCAACACCGTTCATTGAAAAAACCGATACACAGAATCATGTATCTTAATATCATCTACTTGTATGCCAAGTAATACTGATATCATACCAAAACTGTAGGAGGAGTAGCGTTTTGAAAGTATTTCCCAGAAATCTCTATTTTTAGTATCCATGGCAACACCGTTCATTGAAATCAAAAACCGATACACAGAATTATGTATCTTAGTGTAGTCTACTTGTGTGCCAAGTTGTATTGAAATCAGACCAAAACTGTAGGAGGAGAAGCGTTTTGAAAAAATTGTTTACAGACGGACGGACGACGGACACCTTACTATCGCATAAGCTCTTCTGGTCTCTGACAGTAGAGCTAAAAACCGAGGTCACGGAGGCGTTGGACGATAAAAAAACCCTTCACTGCTCAACGGTCCTTAGTACCGAGCATGGTTTAAATTTGAAGCCCTTCACCGACATACGGTGACGTCTCTATATGAGTGAAAAATTCTCGAATGGGACGTTTAACAACATTCGATCAATCAATTAAGGTAAGTCGCAGCTGGGTTTAAACCCACGACTTTACGATCACGGAGCGAGCTCGCTACCGTGACGGTTAATCAACTTTAATTTACATTTATTAGGTATCACTGAAAAAAAGCATATCAGTAAATGTTACGGCAATAAAGAGTTACAACAGTGAGACTAATTTTACTTTAAGGACAGAACCAGCCTGGATTTGTATCCTTGCTCAAACTAGAAAAAGTATGTGATTGAAATGTATGATGTGTAGCAATGTAGACACGCATGTTAAAAATATTTTGAATACAATTACATAACAGTTAAATAAAGTTTCCGGTTATGTTTTTTTTTCGCTACCTGCTTTCTATAGGCCTACACATCACAGGAAAGAAGTTTAATGACCACACCTTATATGTTTACTTTAATCTCCCAAACATCTTAAAAAAAGAGATGAACTGGAATGCAGAGAGTGCCTGTAGTTTGGTTGACTGTAATGTGTTAAAAACGCTAACACGGACAAATGTGGGTAACTAATATTCTAGTAATTGTTTTAAATGTGTAAAACCACAAGTAGATGAAATAATACGGTTATTAAACGGTTATTTAAATATTTTCAAACAAAAGGATAAACGCATATTTAAATCAACATTCCGTTATCTGCATATTAAATGGCTCTTCAACTTGGAGGAAAAAACATGCAACACGACCTTTAAATTTTTCCTTAAAATATTTTAAAATAGACAGAAGTGATTTATAGAGATGTTCTTGTTTGTACAGTCTGTGCCCGCATTAAATGCAATAGAGCGTGTCTTTTCAAATTTTATAATGTTGGGGTTATAAATATCCTTCAAAAAGGTTTATTCGTATCAAGGAACTAAGCTACATGTACATCTACATTCCAAGTGAAAAATCTACAGTGGCAAACAATAACGACTGTTGACTTGTAACTCAGGTAAATTAACTCTTCAAAATACGGATATAAAATCTAAATTGTGGGTAATTAAAATTTATTGTGCAGGCGACACTCTTCCATGTCTCCTTTTCAACTTAATGCGTATTGGATTTTTGCGAGAAGCACTGACTTTTACAGTCGAGGACTTACTTTGACATTTAAACCTGCCTTATGTACGGAGGTACGGAATTGATAATAAATAAGAAAACCTTAATAGTTGATTATAGGTATTCTGTTTGGGGCACTTACATGATTAATTGGTATGCAATCGATGGGAAGCAGAATTACATAGCTTTATTTATTTGTGAGGGTTAGTATCTCCTACCAATCTCATTTTCTGAAGGAATCAAATATTACGGAAGAAAAAAACATTCCGGAAAGAAAACTAAGCAAAAGTTGGTCAATGTGGGAAGGGAGGGGGTTGAGGGTAGGGTGGTTGCCGTTCCCTTCCTAGAGATCGTAATATGTGCTTTGAAATGGCCTATTCTCATTTTTTAATTAACTGTTAAGCTTAATATTTATATCGCAAAAGAGCTTCCATATCTGTCCTAGTGTAAAAGTAAGCCGTCTTTTGTAACAGTCAGCGCTTCTCGCAAAAGTCCATTAGTGAGATTCGGAAGTCAGAGATTTCTCAGGTATGTTTCGGGTTGACAGAAGTTCGAAATACAACTGCTTGCTTCCCACTGAGGTGACAGCCGGATTTGTTAACTTAAAAATTATAAACTGCTCAGGTTTAGTTAAATATTATCGTCTATTTTATTTTCAAAATGGTGTATATGTACAGACATATTTACTTGATATCAACTGACATAATAACGGTTTTTTAAAGAGATCATACCACAGTCTGCGAAATCTTTGATCAGAGATCGATGGACACCTTTAACTTATTGTTCAAAAGCAGATATTGAGTTTTGACAAATTATATGCACTTAAGGGTAATACAATATGAAGAGCGATTTAAGGATGAAATATGGAGATAAGATACAGTATTATGAAATATGGAGATAAGATACAGTAATCAAGTTCAAAAGTCCATAGAAACAATACAAATCCGGAGCAAAGCAAACACGGACCTCTGGGATCAGGTGCCACTGAGTAGTAAACATCTCCTGTTGACCGGTCACACCCGCCGTGTGCTCATCGTCATGATCGGGCAAACAGAAAAATCCGTTGACATTTCAGTGTTTAAATAATGGCCCTCAATTAGTATGTTTGTTTATTGTTTAACGTCCCTCTCGAGAATTTTTCACTCATATGGAGACGCCACCAATAGTATGAAAAACGTCAGCCAAGTACAAGTGGGTATTTCTTAAAAATCAAGAAATAAAGTACTGCTTACTAGTAAATAAATAACATACCATTGGAGGGGGGGGGGGGACTTCATTTGTCACAGATCGGCGTACGCCGAATTGCGCCGGTCATATGATCGGCGTAAAACGGCTAACTGGCAAATGAAGTAAACCGGCGAAAGCAAAAAATAATTATACTATTATATAACAATCAATTAATTAAGATCTATCACTTTTTACGTTATGTCTTAGCGAAAAAAAAGGTTGGATAATTAGAAATTCAATGGACCTCATGAATTTTTTTTTTATTTAGAAAATAACGGATTTTAAATATATGAATGGAGATTTGTTCAAGAACTGCAAACAATTAAAGAATATGCCGAATTGGTAAAAAGTATCTGCATTTTATAATTGTTTTATCTTCCCGCCATATTTCTAAGACCGGCGAATTTCTCGCCGGTCATTTCAGACCGGCGAGATCGGCGTACGCCGGCGAACCTTCCCCGGTCAATTGAAGCAACAAGCCGGGTTACCAAAGGTCAAGCGGCGCATTCGGCGTACGCCGGTTTGACAAATGAAGTCCCACCAACATTAATCGCTAAATAACAAACCTCTTAATCTCTGATAGATAGTTATCCTTAGTCTGTTTCATACATATATTGATCTGCATGTGACCACCAATCTTAAGGAAGAATGATATACAACTGAAGCTCTGAAATGATGAATGAATTACAAAGCTTTCTGATAAACGTGATGACTTTAACTTTTCAATCGTCAACTTCTCTTACTATGCAGCAATATACATGTACCATTATCACCTGCATATGGGGTTATATCTCTCAGTTGCTTTGATACGCAAGAGCATGCTTTACGTAAGAAAAATTTCTAAAACGAGGTAAATTATTGTCAAGTTGATGAAACAAGAATATCAACAGTCTCGTTTAAAGTCATCATTTCTATGGTCGATACAATGACCTTGTCAACAAATACATTTTGTACAAATCTATTATTAAGTCTTATGTTGACTGACGTTTTTCATACTTATTGTTAGATCATTATTTACACAATGCATATTGTCGACGGATTTTTTTCTGTTATTTCCACACGGCGGGTGTGACCGTCCGGCAAGAGATGCTCACTCCTCCATGGCACCTGATTTCACCTCCAATGTTTTTTTGAAGGTGCGTGTTTGCTCTGCTCCTGATTTGTATTGTTTTATTGGACTTTGAGCTTGAATACTGTTCGTTATCCCCATATTTCATTACAAACATTCCATGCACGGTTCATGATCATTTAAATCATTGTAAAAACACTTCTTGTAATTTTCTTTGGCGAGGATGAAACAGTTACTGTGGAAAAGTTACCACGTTTGTCATTCTGTTTACAAGCTATAGCAACAAGACAGGCTGAAATATTTCACCCAGTAAAAAATCTTCAAATACAGATACTTTTTAATATTTACGTATTTGTTCTGAAACCTCAAACTGTCCTACACGAGCCCGCACCTCTTCATTTCAATTGAAAATTTATTACGAAATGTCACATTTTGAAACCAATTAACTGATACAATTAGAGTTTATCATGTAATCGCAAAAAAAGGAATTAACATATTGCAAGTGTATTGGTGGCACATTGTTTATGGAATAATGGAATTTTAAACTAGTTTAAACCCAACGCAACAGTGTGCTCACTCAAGGGAGCCAGGTATGGTTAACCGACACCTTGTAGTATTAAATATTCTTGTATAATTGGTTTACCAACTTCCTCGTGTAATGCGTAATATATCGATGTTCATGTGCACGCAATTGACGGAAAATTCAATGATTTTGATACGTTCATAACACAGGCACTTGTTTCTGTTATAAAATTTTTAAACTATATTGTATAATAATAACACAAAGATTTCCAACTTTGAATTACATGGAGAAACCCAACTCACCCAACCCCAAGGAAATGCACTGGCAAACTGTTTAATACCATTTTCTTTTACGATAATTATCTATAAAACCAAATTGGCAAACTCTGCTCGCTGACTGGAATAATTTTAATTCATCTCACACCACGAAGTTCTATGTACTTATCTTTGATAGAGAGAAAGAAAAAACGGTGGGCGTTAAATGTTTAAACATTGCAGTGAATGTTGGTTTTTTTTTTTTTGGTTGGTTGTTTTTTTTTTTGTTTGTTTATGTTGCAAGAGATTTTAAAGTACACAGCACTTCATGGAATGAGACGAATCTTCCAGTCGTCAAGTAGATATTGACGCTATTAACAGCAAGACAAGCTTGCCATATATGGTATCGTACATAAATTATTGTAAAATGGTATTAAACATTTTGTCAGTGCATTTTCTCTGAAAGTGTGAATAATTGCCATTCTAGCTAGGGAGGGTATACTCCATCTAATTCGGAGTTATATAGATACCTTTTCTTATCAATACATTATGGGTTAAAAAAAATATACAGTCTGAAACAATTTCAGTGCCTGTGAATGTACGTTTCAAAATTATTGAATTTTCTATCAATTGTTAACATATTTAATACTAGATGAAATCCCGCGCAAGCGCGGGTAATTAAATTTATACCACTACCAACAGAAAATATATTATAGTTTATACTGACAGCCTACAGGCTTATAGCAGGAAGAAATACTTTGTTCAAAATCCCACATATGCGTCTGCAACCCCCCACCCCACCCCCTTTTGTAAAAACTTGAAAAAATAACAATTTCATTAATTGATGTTTATTGTGAAATCTGTTATACTATGTTATGGATATTGTACTTCAGATGCTTTTATTTCATTTCCGTCAAGGATAAAAGCACCGAATATGCACATTTAACTGATAAATTGATTGTTTTGTTTTTTTTTTGGGGGGGGGGGGGTAAAAAATTCACAGGTGCTTGGGTCTTGGTTTAAAATACGTATGTACCTTATTGATATGTAAAAAATGTACGTTACCTTTTTTACATATCAATAAGGTACATACATATATTATATAAACCAAGACGCAAGTACCAGTGTAAAAATTAGCTTTTAACGCCCTATGAATGGCCGAGTATTTGATACAAAAGACTGTATTCAGAAAAAAACTGAAATGTATTGATTAAAGCACAAAATTTTACAGCTTTAATTGTATATGAGCAATATTTTATCATTAATTTTCTCTTTTCATGTAAGCAATTTTATTACGAAGTAGAAATTGTACTTCGGATTCGTTGGCACGATGCTTTCAGTAAGGAAAATATACACAATATACCGATAAATTTATTAGGAAAACCTACTACACATATGTAATAGTCTTTCGATATATAAATATATTCACAACTTAAAGTGTATCAATGATTTACCATTATTTCAATGACCATTCACACAAAAGCTTTTTTTATGTTCCTACAGCTATAATCGTCTCGTTTTTATTTTTAACATCGTGCTCGATGCTATATGATGTTCTAGAAGCTTCCGTCAATATTAAGATCGGTGAATGACAAAAATTATTTGCACATTTCCCTTTTTAATCGGTTATCAAAACTTATTTCTTTTATGTCATTTAAATCAAGTTTTGATTGAATAATTCAGTGATGACGTTTTATGAAATGAATAAACGATTGATTGTTGTCAGTTTCATTGAAAATTGCCAGAAACTTAGATCCGCCAACCGGAAACGCCACCGTACTCACGTTTTTGCTATTTCGTGGTTGTTTATAGAAAATAAAAGTAGACTTTTGATTTAATGTACGATACTTACAATGCGAGTGAAATCTAAATATAGTTTACGGACATCATATGTATCTAGTGTATTCTTAGAGGAATAAGTAAAAACTCTGGTGCATCCGTTTCGGAGTTTATTTGCAAAATTTATTAATTTATAAGTATAGATATTTTCATCTAACTCATATAAATGCATGTAGTTAAAAGTCTGTGCTTTATTTTTTAAGTATCTGCATTTAATGAAGGGGAACATTGAAATGACACCTGAGGTGAGCTTGGAAGTTTTCAAAGAAAATGACATTTTAAGGAATGAACATTTTTTAGTCCCAGACAGTGAAGTTGGTACATGTATAAAGCATTTTGAGTATATTGGGAAATCTTTGATATATTATAACGTATCCATGAATGAGATTTTTTTTATCTCTGCTTAAGTACTTTGATTTGTATACTATTCTTGGATATTCACTAAGTTTGTATCATGCAAGTGATTCAGTTTCTCTGACCAATGAAATTTGATGCAGAAAATTACATAATTCAATTTGTTTTAATATACGTTAGCTGTTTACATGTTACAGTACACGGACGAAATTTCCATTTTTTGCAAAGTAGATGGGCGAAGAAGGCGTAGGAAATACCTACTATACCTGTATAACAATCATATTCAATTTGTAAAGTGTTTAAACAAATTTAAAGTTACATGTATTATTAAAATATATGAAATTATGATAACCCAAACTTTCTGTGGAAAACTCGGCAAAAATCATTCCATGAATTAAATATAAAGTGGCATTCATGGGGTTCGAACCAAGGTATCAAAATACTGAGTATCAATTTTATCTATGAGACTAACATGTTACATGTAACCACTACACTTAGCAACTTTTGAAAGTTTGTGGCATTTAAATATTGTTTGTGATATGAACCATGACTAAACAAACTTAAATTTTTCTTGAAAATACACGAACATTGTGTAAGGTACATATGTGTAAAGGATCTTTGCTCCATGTTTTTTATTAGCCTAAATTATATATTTACGCATACTTTGAAAAGAAACGTCGACCCACTCATAGGGAAAAATTGTGTTATAATATGAAGAAATGATCATTTTATCCCTCTTTGTTGGTGTGTGCAAACTATTTTAGTCACGAAAAATTTCAATCTTTGTGAAATTGTTGCAAATTGTGAAGATTTTACATAAAGTATACGTTAATGTTCCAAAAACATGAAATAAATTTTCGTTATAATTAAGATTTTAAATTAATTTTTCACTTTCTAGTTTGTCGCACCATGCATAACCATTTTGCTCGCCTTGATTGGCCATATCCTTTCAGAGTGTCTTAAAATGAAACGGTATCAATGTATTAAACAAAAGTGTTTTTTTAAATTAACATTTATCAACAACATGATCGATAAATGAATATTCTCATGGCGGGATCCCATAACGTACATGTAATAGGAAAATTGTGCATTTTCCTTCTTTCTTTCATTTTTTTAAATTTTAAAGTATATTGAATTGCTTCATTCAAGCTCAAAATTAATACAATATTGAAAAAAAATCAACTTTTAAATCCATAATAATCGCGATACACATACATGTACATGTATGTGTGTTTTCCAGACGAATCCAACAGATTAAGAAGACAAACATTTATTTTATGGTCTATTATTATAATATGCTATTGTTCTGCACAAACGTCGAAGTTCGCTCACAAAGCTAATTATAGATACAATATCTTCAATTTAAACCAAAAGCATTCCATTATGTCTTTTCCCGTATCAAACTATAGTCTGTAATGGTCGGAGTTTTTTCCGGGTAAACATACATTCAGCAGTGAACAGTACACAGTGACGACACTTAAGGAAAGTAAATTAATCATAAACGAGCATTGTTTCCTCGCTTTCACTTCTTCTGTTGATTATCCATTCATAATTTGACATGCACCAACAAAATTATCTTATATCCAATTAAAAACATCGGTCACCAATCTCAGTAAGCTAACATTCTTGGATTGGGGTATAATAAGTACGTTGGTTTATATTAAGTGTCCTCCTTTTAAAACTATTGTGAGTAATTAAGGGTTGGTTATAGAGATTGAATGTTTAATGAAACGTAAATGACCTCAATAATATGAATAAAAATAATAATCACAGTCATTTTAATCTATAAAGATTGAAGGGTATGGAATGAAATTTGTATGTTTTGATAATTATATTGTTTCATGCTGTAAAATTTTAATGTAAAGCTATGCATGTACATGTATGCTATGATATCGTTTATATATGCTGTAAATCTTAAAGAAAAAAACACGCCTTTACTTTCTCTTAAAATTGTAAAACATTTTTATTGCAAACGATCCTTTTTAAAATATGTATAACAACCATCAGAATAGAAATTTAATGAGAAGATAACCTTAACAAGTTTTTCAAAAATTAAAATTTAAAGTTTTTCAGGACAGTATGAAACAAAACAAAAAAAAAGAGATTGAGAGTAATTTTAATGATACTGAAATTTAAAATTGATGAAACACTTAGCACCTTAAAAATTTTTTAACAAGTTTAGCGCCCATCCTTAATATCTGAAATAAATGTAAATTGGGCCGTTATGTTTTCGTACATACAGCAGACTAGTACTATACATGTACATGTCCATTATATGAGTGCAAGAGCAGAGATATTTTTCATAAGTATTTAAATAACTCCATTAGCCAAATTTGAAATTTTCTGGAAATTTGAAGAATACGTAATATGTACTAAATACATGTATTTATGTCCATGTATAAAACTAGCGTTTGGAGAGTAAACTGCTCAATTTTCTGGAGATTTATATCTATGAACTTTTTTTCTAAAGAAAAAGAAAGTGATAGGATTTTACTTCTTTCAGAAGGTAAATGTAAAGTGATTATTATGTCTATGTGTAGGTAAAATTTGTTTTCGTTTGCAACTGTTGTGATATAATTTTTTTTAAAAAAATTCCCAGTCTGTAAATGTTTAATGTACTAACAAAGTTTCCGACGGTATTTTTAAGTAAATTGAAGAAAATAGTTACAAAATATGTGTTTAAAATCGCTCTGAAAAGGCATATCGGTTTCAGACGTCTATCGACCGGCCAACACTGAATATACCGTAACTATGAAATAGAAGTAACTGTTGTACTAAAACATATAAATTTAATATTTAATAATGAAATAATCTAATTTAAAAAAGATCATTTTATTCAAGTGTAGCCCAAATTGTCATAACTCAAAATTGCAAGAAAAGTTTAATTTTATGCTTTGGATTATAATAATTTTTCAACTGCATTGATTTATGAACATGTTATACAGTGTATTACTAGCTCGGGTTTTTTGACAATTAGAGAATTTAGGTATATTTTTTAGAAACATAAAGCTACGATGGTTATAAAATACCGTGTATGTGATATTATACATCATATTATATTTAAAACCCTCCACTGAATGAGTGAAGGCATTTACATATTAGAGTCCTCTTATATTTTTACACAAGTATATACAGTTTTAAATGTGCATACCTAATGCTTGAACCAGGCTGGAATGTTAAATACTTATCACAACCTCATTCACCGTTATTATCCCCTCGCAGCGAAGTTGGAGGAGATATAGTAACGTGCTGATGGGGGTGAGTGGAGATGTGCTCTTCTGTGAGGGAATGCTCTGCTTTTGCAGCGCCCTTGTTTTTATTACTACATTGCCGCTGATTATAAAATACGAAAAGAGTCCTTTTTGAAAAAAAAACACAAATGAGTTGCTTTTATTTTGCAAATTAAGTATTTTACTTTTTTGATAAGTGTTAATGTACATGTATTCTCTGTTTCCTTATATCTTAATTAGAAAGACTTGAGATTAGAGAATATCTTAGACCAAAGTTTTGATTTTACTTTTTTGATAGGTGTTCATATGCATGTACATGTATTCTCCATTTCCTTAAACTTGATAAGCAAGACTTCAAATTGGAGAATATCTTAAAGCAAAGTTTTGTTAATATTTAAAGCATTTACATAATTTAAAAAGTTTAACTAAACTTGGCTCGGGTTGGTCTAAACTAACTACAACAAATATCAATAGTTGAAGTTTTACGATAGAAAATTGATCATTTGTTTACTTTCTAACTACGTAACAATACAATGTGATCATTCTTTTATGTAGATGATCGGTTGCTTGAATATGGAAGACGACTACGAATTTGTTCAATTGTCCACTAAACCAACTGAAGGTAAAACAGAAAGGGTTCTGAACTATGCAGACATTCAGTTCAAAACTTCGGCACAGGATCCACCAATTAAGCCATGGTTTGGTGCTTCGCAGGACCAGAATTCAGACGACGAATCTGTGATTTATAGTGAAATGCAAGGTAGCGACGTATATGTAAATATTTTAGCTCAAAGCACATCAAGTTATGATTCATTTAATGATAGTTCTACAGATTACGAAGATATCCCAGATTTCAAAGCACCAGCTATCCCGGATTTAGGAAATAAAGTAATGGAGGAAAATGTAAAAGTGAGCGCTAATGAGAATGAAAGTGCCTATGGCGAATACTGTCATCTTGATCCAAATAAAAAATTAGCCAAACAAACAACCGCAAATAAACAGAAGAAAAGGAGAACTAAAAAGCTTATGTGTACTGACATAACGACACTGGAAGATGGAAGGATGGTGGTAGTTACAGAAAGTGGTGAAATTATAGTTCTAAGTTCCAAAGGAATGTATTTGTTTATGGAGACGTTTGATGGTGATTTTGAGAATTGTACTGCTCTGGACAAAAATGAAATAATTGCTGCCTGTGGTTATCGAATCCGATTTTTCTCTGTGCATGACACAGAAATAAGAGAGGAGGAAGAAAAATGCATCGATTTTCAATACGACTGGACGACAGTACATGGAATTTCTTATAGTGATCACAAACTGTTGATGTCCTGCAACTTACAAAGTGTAGCGTGTTCGCAACCACCAACAATTAAATTATATGACATGAAGAGAAAACATACAAAAACCGTTTACACTCTTCCATTCACTTCTCCAGGTAAAGTTCTTTTAAATCCAGATTTAAAGAAGTTTTTTGTAGCAGACCAAGCCGAAAAGACGATAACTTGTGTAGATTTCCGAGGTAAATTAATCTGGGAGTCCAGGGACATCAACACTCCCATATCGTTCACTTTAGCAGATGAGATACTCGCTGTGGCATTCGAAGAGCGCCAAGATATAACATGTTTTTCTTCAGAGAATGGAACTATTGTGAGAACAATCAAAATGGATGTTGGAATGCATATACCAACAAAAAGAATTGTGCTTGCCAATAATACTAAGGAAATAATTATTTGTCCATCTGATCGTTTTGTTGAAGAAACAGTTAGTTTTGTTTTCTTTGCGCCGATCAAACACACAAGAAAACAGCATTTAAAGAAAAAAATTTCTAGTATGAAACTTCTTCCCAAAATGTTTCGGAAATGATAATGTTCATTTTTCTCCAGTACAAAGTGCAATATACACGGAATCTATATGCAGAAAAATGGATAAAGGGAACACAGATACAAAATAAAGACAAAACCACCCAGAAAACTTTTCCTTGTTTTGTATTACATCTTTTCACGTGTGTTGTGAAATAGGGTTACTTTCCCTGCATTTGTGTACATGTGTTATTTCATATCACAATTAGCATCTCACACAATTAAATTAAATATTCTTTATCAAGAACTACCTTATAAATTGTACAGCTTGGTACACTAGTGAAAAAAGTTTTCAACAATATTTTACTCATGTAAAAAGCAATATACAGTATTTATAAAAACAATGTTAAAGATGTGTTATAGAGAGTTATTCTTATTCTAACATTTCCTCTTTAGGTAATTTCATGCCAACTCTTCTCAAGTTAATTTTATTCACGAAGGAAATTCATGATTTTCAAAGTGCATTTTTTTTTCAAATAAAAGTTTCATTTGTTTTGTAATTAAGTAATCAAATAAAATGTTATTTATCTTTCGTTTTAAAATTGGAAACTTTTTTTCGTTCTACCCCGAAAAGGTTAATTATACAAGCAATTACAAATGAGCCGTCACATGCGAAAAGGGCCCTTATGTATTTTGACGTCATCATGAGAAAAACGCCGGTAAAGATAACGTCATAAAATGCAAGTTGCGTATGTTAAATTTTCCAACATTTTTACCTGAGCTCTATCAACTTATTTCATTGTTGTTTATATCATTTAGAGCCAATGAAATATCAGGGGAAAAAAGTAAATATGAATTTTTAGAGCTAAGTTCCATATAAATGGACATTTCCAATATTGAATATTAAATTTTGCTGATATAATTCGGTGTTATTTTTTTTATCCGATTTTTCATACATTGAAAGCGATCGTACATGCACATAATTGATATATACCTCCACATGTACACATCCTTTTTAACACAAATTCATATTAACCGAAGTGTAATACTTTACAATAAATGAAAAGAAAAATCTTAGACCGTTCCCAGCATATAGGTTTATATATGCGATTAAGATTTTGTTCAGCTCTACATGTAGCAAATGACGAAGTTTGAAAAGGTTGATTCTTCGTAAAGCATAAATTTAATGAAAATAACATCTGATTTATTTTTTCAAAACAATTATAAACGCGATAGATGACGATTTGCCTTCATCACGGTCATTTACGGGTCAATGTGTTCGTTGTCTCATTCAAGTATAGAACCGTCGGTTTTACTGTTTACGGAGACAGCCTTGCTTCTGGTTGAACGAGACTAATGTGTTTCCTAAGATACACAATTCTTGAAATTTGAGAATAAAATCTAGTAAAATTTGTTAAAGTCTTGGACCAGCCGTAAAAAAATGAGAAAAAAGTAAATGCTGCAACGAAAAACAAAATTGACCAGGATTTTTTAAAAATGCATTAATATGGGAAGATTTGACTTTGCTACAAATAATGGGGGTGGGGTTGTTAGAGGTGGGTGCAATTAGCCATTCAGAGAACATCTTCATTCTATATCAATCAATTACCATTGAAAAATTATGTATGGACACCCCCCCCCCTCCCAATACAACATGCCTTTATTTAATTCCTAGTAAATAATGCTTTATTATGTATAAAAACCCCAAATTACAGGGAAATTAAATCTGAAAGATTGAACACATATTTACTTCCCTGTAATATTGCATCTGATTATCATTTTAATTTCTTAGTACAAAGATGAAGTGTTTGTCTGCTTCAAAGGTTATGAAAATAAATACCGGGTCATTTTTGTGTAGGAAGGTTTGCAATAAGTTCAGTTTAATCTTTGAATTGTTTTAAAATGGAAAGAATGACTGCTTATTTTTTTTTAAATGAATCATATTTGGCCATTTCTTTAGGCATGTACGTAACAACTTTTTTTCAGAGAAAAAGGGGGACTTAAAATGACAAGTTAAAAATAATCAAAAAATCAACAACAAAAAAAAACCAAACCAAAACAAAGAAAGAAAAAAATGTATTTCGGTAAAGGGTTAATCCCTTTTCGACAAAAGAAAACTGAGCTAAAATGGCAGTGCTCAGCAATGTCGGCGATACCACCAGAGGTTACTCAGTAGATAGATACAAGAATATCCAATGCGTACAAAATCAGACCTAAGGTCAAGGGGCGTTTCATAGATACTAGTACAACATGTCAAAATTTTATGAGCCTGAAACGACAGGTTGTTAGTGTCAGCGAAGAAAATTTGATTTCTTTTTAAATCTGAGATAAATACTTCTATCAACGTGCAAAATTGAAATAAATCTTAGTTTGAATATTATTTAAAAACATACATTCTTTTTATCAATTTAATTGCAAATCTTCATTTATTCCTTGACTACAAATTACTTAATTATTAGTGACACTTTCTGGATAACGGTTGTGAACTATAAAGGGACAGAGTGTAAATTGCCCTCAACACTTTTTAATGTCCTATATAAAAAAAAATCAAGTAATTATTAAATTTAAACTTCTTTCATATCCATGCATCTTATCTAAGCTTTTCATAGACTATGTAATTTACTCAACACGTGTCATTTTATCACTCAATTCGCTAATTGTTGTCAAAGAATTCTGTTATATACCAGTATCTGAATTGTATGTGTCAGTTCAGAGGCCCGACGCATTACTGGCCACTTCCGTCTGTGTCCCCGCATATATTTCTTAAATGTTAAAATTGTTGTCCATTGATAAAAGCTTTAATAAACTTTGAAACTGATTTACTCGTTACTTTAGATTTATACAGTGCAGGGAACTAATTTTGTTACATAAACCAGCATCAGCATAAGCATTAGTAGCATCAGGATCGAGCTAGCATCAGCATCAGCATTTAAAAAAACAGCATTTCCAGGATCAGCATCAGCAAGCAAAGGATAAAACCAGCATTGACCTACATAAAATCAGCATTATCCTACTAGCATCAGAAAATCAATGAGTTTTAATTCAGTAAAAAAATAAAAAAGAAAGAAAGAATATTGGTTAAAGTATTCACATTATTGATACATAGTGAGATATTATTATCAAATAATTGTAAAAGGCACTTTTATTGCTTTAAACGGCAATGCTGAAATTCATTATCTACTTCCGGTAGCATGATGCTACTTCCGGTAGCATTGACCTAATTATAAAACAGCATCAGGATAAGGATTACTAGCATTAAATCAGCAAGCAAAGGAAGCATTCAAATCAGCAAGCAAAGGAAGCATTCAAATCAGCATCGATGCTGTAACAAAATTAGTTTCCTGCACTGTAATACATGTATGTGATTTCGGGAAGAGTCCTAGGAATACGGCACTACTACTTCCGACCCACAGCGCCACTCATTTCACTGCCAACATTCCCTCTCTCTCGATCAACGACATATCTTATTAGACCCAAACTAAGCGATTATACTTCCACAGAATTTGAGAACCACAAATGAATGGAAGAATATGTAGACCTAAGCTTTTGATTTTTTTCTTCAAACGAAATTTAGCGAAAAAAGGGAGGGGGGGGGGGGGTTACATGGTGAATCAATGTACATGTGACATTAAAAAAACTTCCAAATATATTCTGAACTTATAGTGACCGTATAAAGATATGATAATAATATGAAAATTACATCTTTATCCTCAGTTTTTGTAAGATTACATGTTCACTGCAAGACATACGAATATTGATCTGTTTAAGTCGGTACAGAGCAAATAGGTGGTGCAAATACCGTGACGGTTTACGCCAATATTGCAGGAAATATGGCCAACTTTAAAATAGTGTTTGTATACCCTCTCGAGCTCCCGACTCAGGACGAAAAAATTAGGTCGGTAGGTAGATGAGAATTTTTCCCCCCGAAAAATTTTAATATCAATATCGTAAGAAACATACATTACCCATGTAAAAGGGGTAAGGGATTGTCTCGGCACGTATTATTGCCTGTATCAATATTTACGAATGTACTTAGGACAATTCATACATGTATGTTCACTATTGTAGGTACATATTGCCCCCTACCCCTTCCTCAAACTTCGTTTAATTTGTCAGAAAACATCCTCAAACTTCATTCTTTTAACTTGTCATAAAATTTAAATGGATTGTGTCACTGTAGATGCCCCCCCCCCCTTGCCGATCAATTTTCTGTATCCGCCCTTCAAGCTTTCTTTCATAAATTTATTTAGGTCATGAATAAAACCAAAAAAATATCGCGATATCCTTATGATGAAAAATTATCAAACAATGAACTCTATAATTACAAGGAAGACGTAATGTTATCAGTCTTATCTTACGGATTTTGTTTAAAAAAAAAATTAAAAATATTTTTCACAAACTACAAGTAAATAAAATACAAGTCTATAAAATATCTCAACACATATCTTTTATTTGTTTGTTTTTTATTTAATATTTACTTTTCTCTGAACCGTATATCAGAGCATTATTCACGTCTAAATAACATGACGTGGCGAGTGTATAACGTAATAATTAAAAAGAAAAAACACACACCGGGTATTTACCGATATAAAACCAATATATGTGTTTAATTTGAGAAAATCAACATAAATAATTTTTTATCCTTTTTTTTCAAATCGTGTGCTACAAATGACCAAAATGGACATTTATGTGACATGCAAAAATGTCGACACTCTTAAAATGTACATGTAACTTCTGTCTTATCAGAGTCCAAAACACCTAGAGCTTCTTTATAAAAATTTAACTAATAACAATGAAACCGTTTCAACAAGTGTATAATTTAGATATACTTTAACGAAAAGAATTTAATCAAATATTGCATGTAGAAGAAAAGGAGGGGATTTATGCATAAATTTTTCAAGTATGTTTTCATGTGATAAAGTAAGGTTTTTTCCAATCAGATACGTATTTCAAATATTTCTGAGAGGGATATAAAACTTTCAGTTTGAACGTCTTTTTTCAACGTCATTTTACAAGGTAATTTTAACATTTTCTTTACCTTTGATTCCCTATATCTCAGTAATTATTCTGAATATTTGAATCAAACTTTATATTTGGTTATTTTACACTATAGTCTATCATAATCCATTGAAAAGTCAATTTTGAAAATTTTTACCTTAAGGGCCCTTTTCGCATGGGACGGCTCAAATAATATATTTCTAAGCTTACTTATAATTTGATGGTAGGTGGCTACAGCTAACTCACGCTGAAAAAGTCGATGTTTTTCGAAATCCTACGTTTGTTGTCCCAGCTTAATACATTATGCATCATTTGATAGTATAATATAG